TCACAGCAATTTTGTTTATAATTTATGATGAAGGATCAACCGCCTGGTGTAATATAGTAAATGAATAAATGATCACTTAATTAACTATAATATAAAAATTTATACCATTAAAGTTAATGGTTAATTTAAATTAATTAATTAACTCTTTTAACTCTTTAATTAATGTATCAAAATTAGAATGCATTTTTTTTATAATTAAATCCATATAGTAGGGTGTACATGGTTGGATTGGGTTGAATTGAGGGACTTTTTTGACCCATCCAACCCAACTCGAAAATTTTCACACCCCAATCCAACCTCTAAGTTGGGTTGTCGAGTGGTTAAAAAAAATTATTTTTAAAAAAAGTTTTATTTATCTACCATTTATAATTATTCGAATACAAATATTAGATAAAAGATAATTGAAAGTTCAAAAATCAATCTATAATTATTAGGAAAAAAAAAAAAAATCAATCACGACCAGCCAATACCACTCTCGCAAACCTACCATTATAATTAATTTCTTAATATAATCTATACATTTTTATTTGGCTCGAGGTTTTATCCCATGAACTCAAAACCAAACCAAGTCAATTTGAGTTCAGAAAAAATGAACCCAACCCAACCCTTATAGTTCGGGTTAAGTTGGGTTAGTCCGAATTGTCGGATGCAATGTATACTCTTAGTCTTTAGTTCCTAATACTTTTATTTCGAAACATTTTAATTTCTCAACACTTTGTTTTTGACGAAATCAAATAAAATATTAAATAAAAAGAGGGGACAATAACATATTTAAATCATTTTTATTTATATCCCAATTAATTGATATAATCATACAAATCAAATATCAAATTGAATGGTTGTTTCTTTCTAAAAATATAGCCAATATTAAATAACAATAATAACCAATTCTTCAGCCCAATAAATACCCAAAAGTTCACAATTTTGTAGTCTTAGTTTCCGACGTGGTTCATCTTTACTCAACTTTGCCGTTACCTTAGCTGGCGAGGTTTGTTTTCTTTCTCGATCGAAGTTGGGTTATGCAAAAAAAACAAAAAAAAAAACTTACTTTTGTTCTGTTCTTCCATCAATTTTATTGGGTCTGCCAATTTTTGTCATTTTTCCTTACGAATCATTCATCATCTTTGTTTTAGCCGATTCCTCTTCGTTTCTTTTTATATTTCTTTTGAAGTTCTGAACATTATCTAGAAATCATTCAGGAAGCTGCAATGGAAGTGATGAACAGAGTTGTGGCCATAAGAAATTATATTGATGAGTTCCCAGTTGAGTCCGACTTTGAGCTCAAATCTGAAGCTCTTATTGTGTCGGTGAAACCTGGTTGTGATGATATCGTTGTCAAGAATCTTTATGTTTCGATCGATCCATATCAGATCAACCGTATGAAGACCCATAGCTCTTCACAGAAGACTTCATCTTTTGCAACTTCCATCAAGCCCGCCCAGGTAACTATTGACCCATAAAGAGCTATCTATCGTTCATTTTAATCTACTTGGTCACCTACGCTGCTTTGTGGTTTGCTATGAACACAGCCCATCGACGCATATGGAGTGGGAGAAGTATTGGCCTCTGGGAACGCTGATTTTAAGAAGGGCGACTTGGTGGCAGGGCTCGTACATTGGGCAGAATACAGTATAGTGAAAGCCCACACCAACATGCTTCGAAAAATTGACTCTATGGGGTTTCCATTAACCAACCATCTTGGAATTCTGGGTATCTTACATTAAACCATGATATTCTCTCTTATGTTTTGTGTAATTATTTGTTAAGAATGGTTGAGAGGGAGTCCAGTTTGACTCATTTAGGGAAGGATCGTGAGTTTATGAGTTTATGAGTTTATAAGTAAAGAATACATCTCCTTTGTATAAAGCGTTTTGGGAAAGTCCAAAGTAAAGTCATGGGAGCTTATGCTCAAAGTAAACAATATCATACTATTATGGAGAGACGTGATTCTTAATATGGTATCAAAGTCATGTCCTTAACATAGCAATGTCAATAGAATTCTCAAGTGTCGAACAAAGAAGTTGCCCTAACTTAGCAATGTCAATAGAATTCTCAAGTGTCGAACAAAGAAGTTGCTCTTAACTTAGCAATGTCAATAGAATCCTCAAGTGTCGAACAAAGAAGTTGCCCTTTACTTAGCGATGTCAATAGAGAATCCTTAAGTGTTGAACAAAAAAGTTGCCCTTAACTTAGCAATGTCAATAGAATTCTCATGGGTCGAATAAAGAAGTTATGAGTTTTGAAAGTGTAGTCAAAGATGACTCAAGTGTCAAACAAAGGATGTACTTTGTTCGAGGGCTCTAGATAAGAAGACGAATCTCAATTAAGGGGAAGCTGTTCGAGAGCTCTAAAAAAGGAAGTCTCAAGGGAAGCTTTATAGTGTAATTTGTTCGAGGGGAGTATTGTTGAGGATTATTGAGAAGAGTAGTCCAGTCCCAGATGAAATAATTAAGAGGAAGATCATGAGTCTATAAATAAGAAATACATCTCTATTCGTACGAGCCATTTTGAGAAATATCAAGGTAGAATACGGATTCTTAATCTTACTAATTTTGATTTTGTTTTGATTAGGATTGAGTGGGCTGACTGCGTACGCTGGTTTGTTCGAAGTAGCAAAGGTCAAGGAGGGAGAGACAGTGTTTGTGTCGGCTGCTTCTGGGTCTGTCGGGAGTTTGGCTGGACAGTTGGCAAAGCTGCATGGCTGCTACGTTGTCGGCAGTGCTGGTTCGGATGAAAAGGTCACATAAACACCTCTAATTTTCTGGACTAATCGTGACAAGGGCATTAAATAACTATGGGTATGTTTTAGGTGGCGTTGCTGAAAGAGAAGCTTGGATTTGATGAAGCATTCAATTACAAGCAAGAAAAGGATTTGACATCAAGCTTAGAGAGGTGATAATTTAGAATTTAAGCCATTAGTTCTCATGATTTAGAGAAATTGGTGAAGTAAAAGGCTTGGGAGTTGAATTTGACAGGTACTTTCCAGATGGAATAGACGTTTATTTTGACAACGTGGGAGGCGAAATGCTAGAAGCAGCAGTGGCGAACTTGAAGCCGTTTGGAAGAGTGGCGCTTTGTGGGGTTATTTCAGAGTATACAAGTTCCAAAAAGGCTGCGCCAAAGATGCTCGATTTGGTGTACAAACGAATCAAAGTTGAAGGGTTTCTAGCTGGAGATTTCTTGAATGTGTACTCAGATTTCATCGCTATGGCCTCTCAGTACCTTGGTTCTGGCAAGATTGAATCACTGGAAGATGTAACCATTGGGGTCGACACCATTCCCTCTGCTTTCATTGGGCTGTTTAAGGGTGATAATATTGGAAAGAAGATCGTCAAACTAGCAGTGTGACAGAATAATAATGATTACAATAATAATATGTATTACACCCCTGGTGGGTCAATATATGTGTGGATGAGCTGTGTGTAGAAGAGTATTACGTATCTATTTTTTTTTTTTTTGTCCGAATTTGAAAGTAGAGTTCAAGGACATGGAATGTTTTTACGAAAAGATAGGTCCTACCACAATTGCTTGTTTGCATTTTCCGACCCTAATAGTGGACAACTTATTGAGTACGTTTAAATATTTAAGTAACGTGTTATTCTTTTTTAAGTAAAGGTAAGACACTCCTATACAGATGACGATGTCTATAATTGCATTTATGGTTAAATTGAAGTCTTTAAGTAAATTCTCTTTTAACCTTTTTGTTATTTCATTTTAGCTTTTTTCTGTTAATATTTGTTTTATTTGAAATGAATTCTTTTTAACTCCATGTTTACAAATGAATTTTGAATTTAAATGACAAAGGAAATAATTACAAAACTCATTGATGAATTATTTGAATTTAAATGAGGAAGAAAATAATAAATAATATCTTTGATCACGGTAGAAGTAGAATATTTGGAATTACTTTGATACAAAATAAAAAAAAAATATATATATATAAAATTGATAAATTAAAAAACGAAGGGAAATTTAAGTCATTTAAAATCCATAAATCTAGAAATGTAAGTCAAAATTTGGGCGGTGATATTTTATTAAAAAAATAATAAATATTTGTTAATCAAAGTCTAATTTCAGAGTACAATTGGAACAAAAAAGAAATTATTTAGTTCAATCCGGAGTAAAACAAGTCAAACACAGGTGGCCGGAGCGGAACAAGTCAAACGCAGCTTGCCGGAGTAGAACAAGTCAAACATAGCTTTCTCCGAAAATTCTGGATGTGCCAACAATGGCTTGCAAGCATCTTTTCTTTCCTTTTTTGAGTTCAAACTTGTACGCTTCCCTCTCCTATTTTCTTCAATATTAAACATTCTTTTTAAAATGCAAATTGCATATAATTTTCACAAATAAACTTGTTGCTGTAACAAAAATTCATTTGATTCAATCCACTTCAATTTTTTTTTTAGTTTTTTTTTTAATTACATCAATAAATAAAAAAAAAAATTCTAACTTTTTACTTCATCTAAAAATATTTTTACATTCAAAATATAATCATTATAGATAGATAAAAACCATTAATACTTTGTTTAAAAAAATATCTTTATTTTTTTTTATTGTTGTCAATCTTTTCCCGACCAGAGTTAAATTTAGAGATAATATAACCTATAACCATTAGTTATTATTAATCTAAAATTAATTAATTTTAATTAATTAATTTATTTAATTTTAACATACTTTAATTATTAATAATTATTTTAGTATTTTGATATGAATTTAACTAACCATTCCAACACTTTTTGAATGACTCAAATCAGAACCAAAATGTTAAATTTCATAGTTGTTCTCTCAAAGTTTTTTATTTTATTTTTCATCTTATTTTAAGAGATTGTTATTGTAGTGTGAATAAATAGTTGTGAGTGTTCAATCTATAAATTTAATATTTTAAAGAGTTATTTACAAAATTTAAATATTGTAACGGTTTTATGTAGAAATTTTTTAATTATTTAATTTCAAAATTATTATGGTAATTTGTTAGGGTTATAAATTTGTATATCATTTTCTATATTTCTCCCGGTATTTAAAGAAGTATAGAAGTTGACAATGGCAGGCATTTCCCTCAAATTCTGAGAAGTTAAGCTTCGGTTGCCAATGGCGACAGCCCAAGTTTCCTTCCAAAACTTCCTCTCAATCCCAACCGTTGATTTTGGTGTCCGGCCAAGGAAATCCTACGGACCGACCAGGGCCGCACAGAGCAGAACCGCAAGCCCAAATTGGAAGTGGTCTATTCGATCAACATTGGCAGATCAAAGGCATCAGAAACCGACGGTGGACGTGGACCGACTGGTGGATTTCATGTACGACGATCTCCGGCACGTATTCGACGAGCAGGGGATTGATCGGACGGCGTACGACGAAGAAGTGAGATTTCGAGACCCGATTACAAAGTACGATGGAATTAGTGGGTATATGCTGAATATTGCCCTGTTGCGAGAATTCTTCAGGCCGGAGATCATCTTGCACTGGGTCAAAAAGGTTGGTCCGATCACATCTCCGACGACCTATCAATATTATTAGGTTCATTAATTATATTTCATATTCAACCAAATCTTACTTTTAGACTGGGCCATATGAGATAACTACAAGATGGACTGCGGTAATGAAGTTCATCCTTCTGCCATGGAAGCCAGAGTTAGTGTTGACGGGAACTTCCATCATGGGTATCAATCCACAAACCGGCAAGTTCTGTAGCCATGTGGTAATTAAAATTTACCATCCTCCTCCTTCCTTATTTTTCACCCAATTTCCTACTTCATCTGGTTAATTTTGAAGGATCTTTGGGATTCACTGCAAAATAATGACTACTTTTCTGTAGAAGCCTTGTGGGATGTGTTTAAACAGGTATACATAGCTAAAACTGAAAAATCATCCAAAATTGAAGACTTTTTGTTATAATTTCCTTCTCTCTTTCCAGTTTCGGTTTTATGAGACTCCAGAATTGGAATCGCCAAAATATCAAATACTGAAAAGGACTGCAAATTATGAGGTTTGTTGACCATATTTTATGTTTGAAGCAGCTTTAATTTGTAGCATTAATGTGTTGTGTTATGTTTCAGGTGAGAAAATATGCGCCATTTGTTGTGGTTGAAAGAAATGGACACCAGATTTCTGCCGGATTCAATAGGGTTGGTAGGTGAGTCCCCTGTTAGCAACCACTGCCCTGTTGTTTACTTATGAATGGAGGATCTTTATCTTAATTAGCCAAATATAGAAACTGGGTTTATGCCACCTCTTAAATGACCATTACATTACTGTTCAGTTTCCCGGATGCAAAACAGGAGGACACAATGAGCATAAGAGAGATGGAAGGGGGCATTGGTGCGGTGTTGAAATTCAGTGGAGATCCCACAGAAGATATGGCTCAGCAGAAGGCAAAAGAATTACGATGTAGTCTAAAAAAGGATGGCCTTAAACCCATAAATGGCTGTTTGCTTGCTCGCTACAACGACTCTGGCCGAACATGGGGCTTTGTAATGGTAACCTTATGTCCCCTCTGTCTCATCTTATGAATATCGTATTGTTTGCTGTTAAAGTGGATGTCTGATTTTAAATGGTAATTTTGCATGGTTTTGGGCTTGATTTGCAGAGAAATGAGGTGATAATATGGCTACAAGAATTCTCAATTTAGTCCAACAACTCCAACTACACTCTGTCCCTGGTGGAAATAGTGAAAGCAACTATAATGTGATTCATAATTTTACAAATTTTTAAATCTACTTATTACATTCTTATCTAATAATTAATAATTTTTTTGCCTTTTCTCATCTCAAACTAAATGTCCTTTTTTAAGTCTAAAATTCATTTAAACAATGAATTAGAGAGCGAGAAATTTGATTGGTTGGGGAGAATGAGACAAACAAAGATCCAAAATAGGTGGGACAGGGGAAAAGGAACGGCCCATGTGCCGCGTAACTATTGTCAACTGCCAACTGCCAACCTCTCCCATTTTCTGCTAATTTATACGTATTAACCGTTTAATATTTTTTAAAAATAAATAGTTTATAGATGTTTTTGAAGATGTTAAAAATATTTAAATATATTATAACTTTGAGAACTTAAAAAGTATTTTTAAACCGTTAAAAAGGGTATTTTTTAGATAAAAGTATTAAATTTTTTCCTACAAAATTATTTTTGAGGTAAAATTAAAAAAAAAAAATCAAATATTATCTATAAGCTTTTAAATATTTTAAAATTATTTTTGAATTAAGAATCATGCAAAAAGTTGAACATAAAAACATTAATAGAACAATATAATGTTTGTGTGGATTAAATTTAAATTTTGGTCCTTATTTTTGGATTGGCCTTGCTGTATAATAAACCACACATATCTCTGACTTTATGAACCATACCCACGTTACTTTCCTAAATTAAGGCATACACGATGCAATTAGTTGTATTAAAAGAAAAATTAATTCAAAAAAATCTCTCTATTCTCTATCATTTTCCATATTTTTTTAGATGATATAAAGAAATTATTTTAAAATTTTAATGATATTTAAAATCCAAGATAATATCTTGAGATATGGATAGATCTCTAGTACTATCTTGGAGCATTTTTCAATTTTACTATAAATTGCTTCTAATTCAATAAATGGACGAGTGGGTTCATTAAATAATGTCTAATTTTACAAAGATTATATTATTAAAATTTAATCTATAATGTAATGCTGTAGATTAAAAAAAATAAAAATGGCATCCTTTTCCCTGGCTGGGGAAAGAGAGATTAGCAGAGAATTAAGCGTAAGAATGAGAAACAGAGAAGAAGAAGGAAGAGAGTAATTGAATTTGGAATTTGAAATAATCGAGAAGAAGGCAGCGCCGTCTTGAGTTTGATGTATTCCGCATTTTTCAATTCAAAAACCCCTCCGAACACAGCGCCGCTTGCATCTACTCCCATTGCCTTCCCTCTCCTATAACCCCCCTTCTTCCATTGTTTGCTTTTGTTTTTCTTCTTCTTTTCTTCTTGTCATGTTCTCATGCCCAGTTTTCCTTTTTATTATAATCTTAATTATATTCTAATCTCGTTCTCTCCTTTTATTCGTCCACTTCTATATATACACACACACACACACACACACACATATATCGCTCATTTTCTCCGTTCTCTCTTCCTCTTTGCCCTCTTTCAACGGAGATTCCTGCGGCTGCCGAGGAATTTGAGTTCTCAGGTCTGTTTTTCTTTCTGGGTTTCTCTTTTTTTCTCTTTTCAACTTCGATTTCTGGATCCCCTTTCCTTTCTTTTCGTTTCTGTTCCTTCAAACTTGGTTTAATGTCTTGTATCTGGCCCTTGATCTGTGGATTTACGGCCTCATTGCTGTTTTTTCTGTGAAACTCTTTCTGGGTTTGTTTGGATATTGCGGATTACTGTCTTTTAGTAATGTATGTTGAATTTTAGAGTTTGTTCATATGCATTCTTGTTTTGCCTTTTCTTCTGAAACTTTATGCCCTTTTCTAGTGTAACAAAAGCCATTTATGGATGAGATTTGTGTTCTCTTGCATCAGCTTTGGGACTTGTTGTTCATAGTTTAGTAGATCCTTGTACATTTTGTTCATAGTTCATTGAGTTGTTGAGAATTTAGCAGGGGGAAATGACGGAGCCAAAGCCATCAGCAACACCATCCTCACGAACCCTCCCTGATTTTAAAAAGTCTGTCAAACTCAAATATGTAAAACTTGGTTATCACTACCTCATCACTCATGGAATGTACCTTTTCCTTTCTCCTTTGCTTGTTGTGATTGCGGCTCAGCTTTCCACCTTTACTCTTCAAGACTTTTATGAAGTCTGGAGCCATCTCCAATATAACTTGGTCTCCGTCATCCTTTGTTCCACTCTCCTTGTGTTCTTATCTACCCTCTACTTTCTTACCCGTCCTCACCCTGTGTACCTTGTTAACTTTTCGTGTTACAAGCCCGATGAGGCTCGTAAATGCACGAAGAAGATTTTCATGGATCGATCTGGGATGACAGGGACATTTACAGAAGAGAATCTTCAGTTCCAAAGGAAAATCCTTGAGAGATCTGGCCTTGGGGATTCAACCTATCTACCTGAGGCTGTTCTCAATGTTCCTCCAAACCCCTCTATGGCAGAAGCTAGAAAAGAAGCTGAAATGGTGATGTTTGGTGCCATTGATGCGCTTCTAGCTAAGACGAGTGTGAAACCGAAAGATATTGGTATCTTGATTGTGAATTGTAGCTTGTTTAATCCGACGCCGTCGCTTTCTGCAATGGTCATCAACCACTACAAGCTTAGAGGGAACGTCGTTAGTTACAACCTTGGCGGGATGGGTTGCAGTGCAGGGCTTATTTCCATTGATCTTGCAAAACAGCTGCTTCAGGTCCATCCCAATTCCTATGCCTTGGTAATTAGCATGGAGAACATAACATTGAACTGGTACTTTGGGAATGACCGGTCAAAGCTCGTCTCGAACTGCTTATTTCGGATGGGTGGAGCAGCAATATTGCTTTCAAACAGAAGATCTGAGAGAAGGAGATCCAAATACCAATTAATACATACTGTTCGTACCCACAAGGGAGCAGATGACAAGTGCTTTAGCTGTGTTACTCAGGAAGAGGACTCAACTGGGAAGATTGGTGTTACTTTATCAAAAGACTTGATGGCAGTTGCAGGTGATGCATTGAAGACAAACATCACGACATTGGGGCCTCTCGTGCTGCCAATGTCGGAGCAGCTTCTCTTTTTCGGTACACTGGTTGGGAAGAAACTCTTCAAAATGAAGATCAAACCTTACATCCCTGACTTCAAACTAGCTTTTGAACATTTCTGCATTCATGCTGGGGGAAGAGCGGTTTTGGACGAACTGGAGAAGAACTTGCAGCTGTCTGATTGGCATATGGAGCCATCCCGGATGACACTGTACCGATTCGGCAACACATCGAGCAGTTCACTTTGGTACGAACTGGCGTATACAGAAGGGAAAGGGAGAATGAAGAAAGGAGACAGAACATGGCAAATAGCATTTGGTTCAGGATTCAAGTGCAATAGTGCAGTTTGGAAAGCTCTAAGGGCCATAAATCCAGCACAAGAAAAGAACCCATGGATGAATGAGATTAACCAGTTTCCAGTGGATGTTCCTAAGATTGTAGCCATTTGAAAAACTCAGCATCAACTCTTTTTAGTTCATCATTCAGATTAGTGTCCTCTGTAATTGGTTTTGGCGTGCTGGTATTTAATAATTAACACTTTCTTTTCTTCTAGGCCAGATTAGATTGAAGGGAGGTATTTGGTTTGTTGAGTGAAGAACAATTGCATCAAACCTTCATGTCTTGATTTGTATTGGGGATTATGGCTACACACAATTTGGATGGATCCTTCACAACTGTTGCCGATCTGAATCAAAACATCCATTCCATGACATCTTTTCCATTTACTATTGTGGCTCCTAATCTACTTCTGTTTTAACAAATTAATAATAAAGCAAGGAACAAAGTATTTTTAAATTTAAATTCATCCCTGAATGTGATACACGCAGCAAGAAATCTAATAATATAAGTAAACCAGCAAATAGTGATGGAAAAAAAGGGTAAACTTTTTTTTAAGAAATAATTATTTATTTGTTTTGAACTTGTGGCTTACAAGAACTTGAAAACAGTAACTGTGTATGAATAGTGGTCACCTTCATCTACTGGTGGCCCCGTCCTAAAAAAGTGAAGGTCTAATCTTAGCCTTAATTCCACATTTAAGTGAAGATCTAATCTCAGTCTAAGCCTTAATTCAGGCACTGTTTGGATCTGGATCAGGTCGATTCATCAACTTTTATTTTTGACTAACTGAATGAGCTTGGATCTGTCCAAATTATAAAACTATATGTTTGTTAAATTAAAAAGTTCGTTTTTTTTTTATTATTATATATATAAATACACAAACATATTTGGTATAAATACACAAATACAAGATGTATGTTATGCTTGGAAGCTTGACCTACAAAGAGCAGCACTGGAGCCTCATAGACACTCGCAACATGCTAGAACCATTCAAAAGAACGGTTAAATCAGTCATCAAATGAGGCCTGAGCTGTTGCGGCACTCAATAACTAAACGCATATCACCCTGTTTGGAATGAGCAAGTTTCTGGTCTATAAAGCTTCTGAAATCAAGCACAAACATTCAATATTTTTCAATTTTATTGGACTTAGCTTGACTACCAGAAAGTGGAACTGAATTAAGCTCCCAAAGTTGAATTGCCAACTCTGCGAGATTGGTATAGCTTTGTTCACGTAATTGCTCTTCAAACACGGTCTTCACTACTACAGTGGTTAAAAATCGAAAAACCTTAACAATTATAAAGCATAAGACAGTGCCATAACAAAAACGCGTTCACTTGTGACCACAAGTTCACACCCATATCTGCAAGAATTGACTAAAACTGTATACAAAAAACCAGCAAAGTCCATACTTCACAAAAGATTTAACTGTATAGGATAAAGCTCAAAACGCTCTGGGGCTTCCCGTCAAGCAATGGAGAAACAATTTCACTCATTTCCCGTCTCCTCCTTCTCCTTCTCTCTGGTCTTCCCCTCGTCTGCAATGTTGAACCCCTCAATCTTGCGTGAGACCTCATCTGCACTTACCTTTACTTTCCCAACAGATCCATTGACCAAGGCTTCATCCGAGTCATCGTGTGTTAAAGGACCAGTCTGCCATATCCTAATGGTTCCATC